CTGGTCAAAATCAGATGTATAAATAGAGAACAATAGTGGCCCCAAAATGGACCCCTGAGGGACTCCACGAGTAACAGACAGAGCGCTCGACACTTGACTATTAATCTTCACAACCTGAGACCTGTCCGACAAAAATGACTTTATCAAAATTGCAGCTTGATTTCCAAGACCAAAATAATTAAGTTTAGATGCAAGTATATTATGATTTATTGTATCAAATGCTTTGGTGAAGTCCAACGATAACAAAAGTGCGGCTTGCCCGGCCTCTCTAGAAGCAAATACATCATCAGTAAGGTTCAATAAAGCTGTTGCGCAGCTGAAACCCGAACGAAACCCAGATTGTTGATCTGGCAGTATACTATACCTTTCGCAGTGTGCTCTAAGTTGCTTTTCCAAGACTCTCTCTAAAATTTTTGACATTACTGGGAGGATACTGATCGGTCTAAAATCCCTTAGGGCAGAAGGGGAAGATACTTTAGGTAATGCAATTACTTCAGCCATTTTCCAGGCATCCGGAAAAACTGATTGATGAACAGCAGCGTTTATTACGTGAGTAATATAAGGAATGAGAAAAGGGGTACACAAGTCAATCATCCAGATTGAGATACCATCAGAACCCACCGCTGCAGTTTTAATGTTATTAATTATTATAGATACTTCATGTTCATCAACAGGCATAAAAGCTTGCATTATCTGCACTCTAGGGTTTACATTATTTTGATAAAATATGGGTAATTCGGGATCAGTCTGGATATAAAGTGAAGGATCACCGTGAACAAAATAATTATTTAAATCGTTTGGAAGAAAAATGTTAGGCACTTTGTTATCGATTTCTTTATTTATATTTAGAAGTTTAATCTTTCTCCAAAGATCCAAAGATATGCCATAGTATGCCTTCTTTTCAGCCCGCACCGTTGATGTTACCAGATTGCGATGCAACTTGTATGAAATCATCATTACTTGATCTGACGTAGAATATTACAGATTTGTTTCGGGTCCTCCGTTTCTGAATTATCTTTATCCAAAATTTTATGGATTCGTTCTTGCTTATTATTTATCATTATTGAATCATTTATGACCTTCCATTGCTTTCGAGCGGAATCTTCAGCATTATTAAATTTGTATTCCATGAATCGTTTTTTATTCATTATGACCAACTTCTTAACATCATATCTAAGTGTTTTAAAAGCTCACCTGTGAACCATCCCTCTTCAAGGTTAGTTGTTAAATTCCTATCTTTTGTTACTGTTACCTTCTTTAAACCATCTTGAATGCAATCAGCGACAGTACTGAATGTCATCTGTTCGGTTTTCAATGATTTAAGCTCCATTTCAATAACTCTGGTTAATAATACCTAAGGTATACCTTTGCTTCTCCACGCGTACACCTGCACAGTTAAGCGTAGTTTTCAGCAACATATGATCGCTTATATGGTGCGAAAGAAGCTCCAAGTTTGGGTTACAATCAAAATTTGTGATTACGTGATCGAGTATGTCCTAGGATCCACTCTTATAGCATATTCAGTATCTATCGTGTTTATTATTTTATAACCATTCATCTGTAACATACTAATATATTCCCGAACAATGCTTGTGTTTTGTTCCAAAGAGTTATGTTGAAATCTCCTATACAAATAGTATTTATACGTCGTAATGTCATTTCGAGCGCATCCATGAAAGGCCAGAAAGATGAGCCCGGCTTTTTGTAGACTCCGTACTGATTATATTATGAAATGTAAGTCTAATTGATAATAAGTTGTTACCATCCGTGTTTACAGAAGAGACCAGTTCATGGGGACAGTTGCTTCTTGTCAATATTGACACAACCCCTTTCTGTCCTCTCTACACACATGAGACCTCATATAACTTGGAAACTTCAAAGTCATAGCCTCGTCATCATACAGCCAAGTTTCAACAAGAATTAGTACATCAGCTTTATGTTGCATCAAAATGACATCAACTTCATTGATTTTGTGTCTTAGGCTTCTTATATTACAGTATACTTTTAGTTTACATTCAGAATTACAGTTCAGTTTTTTGGCTTTGGGAGATCTTCAATAGTGTTGAAAATCAATTTGGCAGAATTCTCAGAAGATCTCTGATGAGGCTACTTTCTACTTGAATGGTAAGGTTAATAGGCACAATTGCCGTTATTGGAGTGACGAAAATCCACGTTTAATAAGAGAAGATCATATTCAGAGACCGCAGAAAATTAATGTATGGGCTGGTATTATGGGAGAGAAGGTATATTATATATTATTCCATTTTTTATTAACGGAAATTTGGACGGAGATAGATATATGCAACTGTTAGAAAATCAAATGGTTCCAAGTGTACGTGCCGTATGCCCTAACGGTATTGACAATAAGTGGTTCCAACAAGATGGTGCTCCTCCACACTTTAGTCGCACAATGCGAGACATGTTAAGCCGCACGTTTCCAAACCGTTGGACGGTAGAAGAGGTGAAATTGAGTGACCACCACGATCTCCTGATCTAACACCACTTGATTTTTTCTTTTGGGGGTTTCTGGAAAGTAGAGTGTATGCAACAAAACCAGAATCAATAAATGATTTGGAAAATCGCATACTTGAAGAAACTACCAATATCACTAGGGATATGCTCCTGATGGTTCAAAATTCGATTTATGAGCATTTGGGTCATTGCGAGAACGAAGAAAGTCGGCAATTTGATCATTTGTTATAAAAATTGTAATAAACGTACAAAAAATAATAAAACATTTTATTTTCCCATTTGTCAACCCCTCATAATTCTTGAAAGAATTATATTCTTTTTTCACTACCTTTAAAATAAGGTAAAACTCGACAGGGATTGCTATTTAAAAACGTAGAGGAGGTCATCCCCTAAAAAACTCCACATTGCATGGAAGTTCTAAACTATCTAAGAATGTAGTTTTTATGACTGTTTAGTGATCCCCAAATTTTCAAATTTTTTCAATATTCAAATCTTTGTGAACCCTGTCAAAAAAATGAGCATCCCGAAAAGGGGACTTGTTGTTAAGCCAATTAAAAGCAGTAATTTTAATTCAAGATCCCATGTAGATTTAATTGATATACAATCACATGCAACAAAATGAGCCGAAGAGGTTGATTATCATATTCTGAACGTATTTACAATTTTTGCAGTGGCTTACATTTTCCAAATCTACAATGGTTATATGCTAATCGACACAGTTATTGAAGAAATGTGTGATGAACTTAAAATCGTTCATGGAAAACCGAGATACATCCAATCAAAAGGTTCGGTTGAGAGAAGCTTTCAGGACATAGAAAATATGTTGTCTGCTAGGTTTGAAACAAATGACCAAAAAGAATTAAATTTATCCAATTTATGAAACTTTCTCTTTTAAAGCATTCGAATGTTTTAATGGCAACCATTCGGAGCCTATATTGATTCGATTGGGAGTACATCAAGGCAATCATTTTGGCCCTACGTTGTTCAACATCTACATAAATGATATATTTGATGTGATTAAAAATTCGCTGTGTCTTATGTATGCGGATGATTTCGAAAACAGTATGATCTTGATAATGTTCAGCTTTATTGTCGAAGCAATACTTTAAATTGCTCTAAATGCAATGTCATCTCTTTCACGAGGAAGAGGAATACTATGTGTTACAATTATACGGTTGTTGGTGAGGTTCTTACCCGTGTATCATCCATTAAGTATCTGTAACTATTGTTTAACATAAATATCGGTATTCAAAGCTTCTTTTATAAAAGTTATTCCGATCAAAATACTGTATTGGTTTCGTTTACAGCACCAAACGTACATATCCAGGATTGAAAGAATTCAAAACAAGTTTGTTAAATACTTATGTTTTAAATGCTTAATACAATACTCTGACTATGACACTTCTTTGCAAACAGTTCAGGATTGTGTCTGTGATGATGTACTCTTCTTCTTTAAGAGTCCACATAATATATGTGATTCTCCTTTACTTTTCAGTGATATTAATCTACATGTACACGAAAAATCGTTGTTCAAAATCCTTACTCAATAGAAGATCTACATCGCATAACGTATATTCTAAAAACTACTTATGTCTTTTCTAGTCTTGATTACATAAAATCTGCTTAGGTATATGGCATATGTTAATAGTATTCTTTCTTTTTGCTCCGTGGTTTGAAAACCAATGTATGACATATATATTAACCGTTTCTCTGAGATTGGCTGCAATATTCACTCGATATAAGTCGGGATTAAAAATATTTAGGTGTTGGTTTAAGTGATAAATAACAAGTCTTTCTTTGTATACATCACGATTATCAAAGTTTAAATTACTCTTAAAATAATTTTACATATAAAAACAGAAAATAAATCAAATAAATCAATGTTAATAGAATGAATCAACCACGATTAATAAGAAAACGAGCGCATGCCCCCGTACTCCATGCGTCTCTGCGCATTAAAAATAATTTAAATATCGATGTCGGACTAACGATATTCTTTCAGTGATTGATTCGTAGCGAGTAGTCAATTTGTTACATATTTCACATTTCTTATCTATTAAATTTTTCATCGAATTTAACGCGTATGGTAAAATAAAACAATAATCATAAGTGAACACGATAATTTCCTCATTAAGATTATATAAGTTTTAATATTGATTTTGCTGTTTCCGATCAACGTCGTTCTTTTAATTGAGTAGTATTTAAAATGTTGAAAACACTCGGTTATTACCTTTTAGAAAAAAGTATGCGCAAATATATGATATGGCCCACCTCACACGGAATGAGAGGATACGGAGTAATAATTTTAATAGTTATAAATCTGGTTTGGGGTTTTTATCCCTTGATAACGGAACTTATGCGTGAGTATTAATGTTTATATCCCTTGTTTTAATGTCGTCACTTTAATCATTTCAGATTACAAGACGAATTTCGCAAAGCTACTGTTTCATTTGGAACTTACTGCGATAGGCGCTATAACTCTGTTTGGTAATATTCAATTACTACGAAATCGACGTAGTTTGCTCGAAATAATTGATTCATTAAGTGATTTTAATCATTTCGGTATCCCAGAAAGAATAAAATTTATTGAAAAAAATATAAAAATTATACTAAATATTATTCATTATGGAGGATTTTTTATAGGATATGCTATGGCATATTATGTTATGTTCGAAAATAATTGTGCCGGTATTATAAATACTAAAGATTGTTTTATTATCGAATATTTCGTTCCACATCATTTAAAACAGTACGAAATAACATTAATAATGTTATTTCAAATATATTTTTTGGGTATTTCAATGAATGTTATATTTTCTGGGTTGTTATTATATAGTTACTCGATGGAATTGTTAATCGCTCGAATAGAACACCTTAATAATGTAATCGATAATATACATTTGAACAGAAATAAGAAAAGAAATTTTAAAATTCTGCGACCGATTTTCTTATATCATCAAGATATTTTCAGGTAATTTTGCACACACTAGTTACATTGCCAATATATATGATGTGTTGCGGTTTTAGAATGTTTGACTGTGTTAAGGGATTCTTTGTCAGTTATATCGTGCCTACAAAAGTTTGCGTTATAGTTTGTTTAACTATGTCTACTACTGAATTTGTTCTGGTTTGACACTTCACATGATAATTTCAATTAATTAACCAAGTAATATTTTTAGGAAAAGAATTTAATAAGTTGCTGGATGATTATTATGTACTTCTTAACGTTATTTTTCTTCCATACTATTGGACAAAGATTTATCACAGCGGTAAGAATAAATTTTTTATATTATTAAATTATCGATTAATATACAAATGTTTGTTAAGTATGGAACCGGCTGAAGTCATATTTCCAAAAGTACTTATCGAATCAATACGAAATTTGAAATGTGAATTTGTCTAAATAAAACCTTTTGTTAAAAAAATGAGCACCACAGGTCAAACTTTCGAATGATGTCAATTTTGACTAATGGTGCTATTTAAATAAAATCAAGTAGGCGTTGCATCTTGAAAAATTGGATTTTGTTTAGTCAAATTCACATTTCAAATTTCATGTTGATCCGACAAGTACTTTTGGAGATATTAAGCGGTTCAATGCTTAACGAACACTTTGTATAAATAATAATTATACATATACATAGGGTCTTTCAACTAAAAGATTAATTTTAAATTAAAAGAAATGTACAGTATTTGTAATACCTGCCAAATCGTTGCTGGAACGTTGGCGTAGACCTTATTTTTTAACATACTCCTAAGAAAAAAACTTCAATAATGTTAAATCACACTATCTCGTTGGCTAATTCATATCTCCATTTCGGGAAATTACACGTCCAAGAATTTTTTTTACGCAATAGAGTTATTATTATCGTTCGGGAATGCAATTCATTCTTTGCAACTATCATCATTTTCAAAGAAGTAAGGTCCAATCACTCCGCCAACCTAAAAACCGCTCCAAACTGTCACTCGTTGTTAATGAAGTGTTTGTTCGACCATTTCTTTTGGGTTTTCAGAGCCCACAATCTGATAATTTGGCTTGTTGACATAACCAGACTAATGAAAATAATCCTCATTACTCAGAATAAATTTGTTGAAAAAATGGTGATCTTGTGCGTGCATTGTGAGCACCCAATCAGCGAATGTATGACGTTGTCCGTGATCTTATGGCTTTAATTCTTGCGTCAGCTGGATTTTGTAAGCTTTTAACGCAAAATCTTTATGCGAAATACGGTGCAAACTGGTTTTTGATAAGCCTAATTCCTGTAAACGTATATATATTTTCAGCAGACCTGGCCGGATGAATACGAAATGACCGAAATTTCTGGATGACAACTAGTACCTCGCACATCACGCACGTCCTCTTGCTTCTTATCCTGTCATGCAGGCTTAAGCCTATAATAGTCCTTAGTGTTCTCATCTCTGTAGCTTTGACGACTTATTTGGTTGTTACTGTTTCGGGTCTTGTTTCGGCTGCGTATGTTAGCGGTGGTCTTACACAAGTTTTATAGATTCTTACTTTGCTTTTTACAGTCATGTGTTTGTTTTGCTATATAATGTCCCGTTGGTGTGGCTACGGCTATGGTTGCTTATGATTTTACTGCGCAGTCCTCTCCAAAACCAAATACAGCTCAAAAAACTTTACGAACTGTCTCCGCGAAATTTTTACCATTTCTATAGTGAATTTTTACTCTTTAAAATTGGAAGACCCTTCATATAGGTATTTAACAATTTGTTACCAAATTTTTAATAGGTGGGTAGTGTTAACGATGCAATTTGTAATGTAAATTGGTTCGATTCGGATGTTTCAACACGTAAAGATGTTTTATTGTTGTTGTGTATGAGCCAACATACAGTCGCCATGGAAGTCCCATTGTTCGGCAAATTATCACATACCGCAGCAGCTAAGGTAGTTATTGTATATAATTATTATATAACTGTTTTGTAATAATTGAGAGTACGAATGATATTTTTGAAGGAATACAAAATGGTTTATGGTTTCTGCAATTGGATTTTAACCGTAATGAAACAACGAATCGCTTAAAATTTATTAATCTTATAAGATCTAAAGTACATATTTATGGTACAAATGTTAATAGTGGAAAATACCAAATATGTAATAATTGAAATAGTAATTGTTATTTATTTGTTACATAGTATAACAATAAACACTATAAAGAGTTTCTAATCTATATACCATTATGTGCCTTATTTATTGGACATTATGTCTCTACCTTATCATATGCAATTTTACAGAAACCACATGTGTTTGCTGCGAACATCAACTCGTTTTACGTCGATTTATGTGGATGATGAAGAGTGTTGTAAATTTTAATGTATCTAGAGCAACATGCGCGGTGTGGTGAGTTTGAATGTTTTGATATATTACGTTTTTGGCACACGTTCAGGAGAAGACTTTTATATTAGCGCAATAAATACATTTTGGAGAAATTCTCTACGACGAAATCGTGTTATTTCAGTGTTATTTCTTTTAGTGGTCTACATAATCTTTCTATTACAGCATGAGAAGAATTAATACATTAATATTGCCCTATTGATTGAATGCTTATGTACACTTCTATGTTTTAAGCGAAGTAGTTTTTGGATTAGCAAAAACAAACATTTAATTCCATATTTATTTGACTTGCTTGGAACCTGTTGCCTACAGGTACATCTTTCTCGATGTCAACGACATCCTTGGAGTAAACATTCCAACGTATCCTCCTTAATTACTTGCTCCTATATTGTTTGAGATGTTCTTTGATATTTTTATGCTACATCTGGAAGGGAACATAGGCGTAAGAGAATGGGGGAGAGGAAGTTATTAGGAATAGGGAAATTTAGAGGAAAATAAATCAATAAGGGAGTTATGCAACGTTCAATTCCGGCAAAGAGAATTGGAGGCATTGGTGACGATCCAGCAGAAATTCATTTTACACGCCATCAGCTTGAGATGATAGAGCCTTTGGACCTTCTCAGAAGAGTTCAGAAGGCAGCGATCAGGTTGGTTGTTGGCATCTGAGAAGTATAGGACGAAAAATGAGGAGGGGCATGATAGAAAGGAAGATGAAAAAGACGGTGGACAGGATTAGACAAGACCTGGCCGGGTTACTTACGCGAGAGTCGAGGTAAGTACGAACAAGGAGTTCAAAAGCGGGTTCGTGGAATAAGAATGAGAATATTGTAATTATCAGAGTTACTTTACTGGATGAAGCAATTGGGTAAATGAAAGGGGGGAAATCCCCGGGATTGGCCGGGATTTTTCCACAGTAGTTGGTGTGGTTGATCTTGTTGCCTATGCTGACGATATCGTGGTGTTGGGGATAGCCGTTCGGAGGTCGATAGATTGCGATCAGCTACCTTGGAAAGTTGAGTAAATGGGTGGATTTTAACAGGGTACAAATATCGAAAACCAAGACACAAATGATGTTTATAAAAGGCTGCATGCAGAGGAAGCCAACAAAATTCTGAAGCTGGATGAGGTAAGTGTGAGGTATTGTGAGAGTGTGAATTACTTGGAAATTGTGATGGATGAAAAATTGTGTTTTGTAGCGCATTTGGAGTATGTTAGGGACAAAGTTGTAATTTTGGTGGAGCGAATGAGAACACGTATGAGAAATGAATGGGGGTTCGAGTAGGACTGCAAACAACCTTAAAATATAGAATCTATTAGATCTGATGAGGATCGATATGGGATGAGAATAGGTTAGAAAAGGATAGGGGTGACCATGAGGCCCAGAGTAGTGCGTTTTCAAAATGACATCATGTTTTGAAATCCTCGTCTATCTGCTGGGGGTTTACGGGGTGGGGTGTAATATGGAACCTATTAAATATGATGAGGATCTATATGGGGTGAGGATAGGTTAGAACAGGATAGGGGTGATGTCCATGGGACCTAGAGTAGTGCGATTTCAAAATGACATCATGTTTTAAAGTCCTCGTCTATCTGGGGGTTTACGGGGTGGGGTGTAAGGTTGTTAAGAAATAAATATAGTGGTTTATGTGTGGTCTGAATTTGGTCATTTAAACATGTTAGATCTGGGTTGTTATGTATCAACTTTCCAATTTCGTATTCTTCCAGGATTTCCATAAGGTAGCCCTTGTTAAGATGATGCAATATTTTTATTTTCACATTTCAACTTATATACCCCATTGTTATCCAATTTGTTTATTCTGTCTTTGTTATTTATGAGTAGGCTGCCTATGGTCCTGTTGGGATTATCTGAAATCTGAATATCGTGCTGTTTCATAGTTTGCTTTATTTTGTTATTAATATTTCCTTGGTACCTAATGTACCTGTAGTTTTTGGTTTTCTGTGTCTGCTGAGTTTTTAGTTGGGTATTATTAATTAGGTTTTGTTTATTTTGATATTTGTAGACAAGTTTATCTATTATGTTTCCTGGAAAGGCGTTATTTTTAGCGATATCTTTTATTATTTCAATCTCGCTGTTAAACTTTTCTTTACTCAAATTTGTTTTAAAGGTATGTATTAACTGTGTATGCAAATGTATTAACTCATTTTGTGAGTTAAATTATGGAAGGAGTCGTATGGGATCGTAGTGTTAATCTGAGTGGGTTTGCTATACACTTCGAATTGGATATTTTGGTTTGTTTTGTTTATTGTAAAATCAAGAAAATGTATTTTATTGTCGGCTTCAAGTTCTAGTGTAAATTGAATTTCTTTGTGTAGTGTGTTAATATACTGATGTATACTGTCAATAACTTCTTTACTGTCCTAAAATATCGTCGACGTAGCGTTGCCATATCAAAATATTATTGACAAAAGGGTTTTTTTTTCATTCATTATGAAGTTATTTTCCATCTCATTTAAAAAGACATCAGCTAGTAACCCGCTCAAAGGTGAGCCCATGGGGGGTCCCTCCTCATAGGTGCATTTCATAAATATGTTTTTACTAGCGTTCTTATTTTCCATTTGTGAGTTGAGGATGTTTTCAATAATCGTTAAAGTCTGTCCAGTAGGAATGTTAGTGTAGAGGTTTACTACGTCAAAGGATAAAATGGCGTTTTTGACTGGTAGGTTGGTGTCTATTAATTTTTGAATGATTTGTTTTCTATTTTTAATTGTATATTTGGGTTCAAAGGCTATATTATTTTTAAAGAATTGTACCAGAAACTTTGAAATGTTATATGTGCTGGCGTCAGTAGATGCTATTATGGGTCTTATTGGGTGGTTTATTTTATGTAATTTAATGAGGGAGTACAACCTGGGTGTTTTTGGGTTCATTGACATTATATTCCTAGTGTTAATACATATTATATTTTTTAAGTGTCTTTAACCTCATTGACAATTTTTTCAACATTTGAAAAAAATTTTCAATATTTTTTTGTAATTATTATCTTTAAGAAATTTTTCTGTTTTATTACTAAGTTTTATTTAAAATTACTAACAAGGGAAGTGTCACAACTGTGTCTCACCGATTTCGATGCAATTTGGTACAGTCATAGAATGGGCCAAAATAAGGTTCGTACATTTTTTTATACGTGCGGTAAAAGCCCCTGGGGCGAGTTATAGGGGTTGAAAGTTTGGAGAAAAAGTACGTTTTCACTTATATTTTAAAAATGAAAAGTGCTATCAAAATTTGGTAAATTGTAACTGATATTCATTTTAAAAGAGCTTTCTTTTGATGTATCACACATATACCAGAGGGTTAAGAAGGGCGAACTACCCCTATTTTTTTGGAATTATTTAAAAACCACCCTATCGATTTTGGCGGCATTAAGTATACTTCCAGCACGTTCAAAAATATTAGTTAAGGGTTTTTTCCCATTCGCTCTAGATCATCCCCAGCGAAGTTACGGGGGTTAACATGTAACCACTTTTCGTAAGAATGATGTGATAAAATTGTCAGGTATTTTGAAAATACTTTAACAAAACCGTAAATTAGTCGCACAATAAAATGTTTAATGTAAAATAAGGCATAATACACCATTTAGGGGTGGTTGGGGTTAACCACCCCCTTAAAAATTAATTCTATCCCGGGCATTACTTGTTGATTACGGCGAAATTTGGTACTGTGTTTGTTTTATATAGTTTATTAGTTTATTTTTATTCTACATAATGTTGCCAAAAATACACCTACCAAAAAAATTTTGGCACAATATTTGTTTTTTTAGTGCCGCTTGCTAAAGGTCATTTCTCAAAATAGTTTTTTCTAGTATAAAAGAACGTGTGCCCAGTGGGTAGATTTTAGTTTCAGAGCAACTGACAGAAGCAATGCTGCTTGTGAAGTATGCTGCTAAATTAGTGGAAAATAATCAGAAGAAATCGTGAGCAATAACCCTAGACTTATCGGTGAAAAATAATACAGAATGTATATCTGAAGATTAAATTTTATTTACAAAATTTTTGTTCTCAACGACCTGTTTCGATTATTCTATAATCGTCTTCAGGTTGTTCGCGTCAAAAGGGAATTCAATTCTTGAAGAAAACTTGGAGGCATGTCACTTCCTAAAAAACCCTAGACTTAATAGAGGGGAATGCTGCCAATTTTCATTGGTTAAAGTTTAAAAACCAATAAAAATTGTTAAAAGGTTTAGACGCGTAAGTGAGTAAACAATTGACAGACAGTTCGTTCGAGATCTTAATAGTGATCACTTGGCTCATCTTAGGGTTCCAGTTTGGCTTTTGGTTACCAGGACTTTCCTTCCAGACGATCTTTTGAGTTTCCTTAGTGAGCCAATTCATTTGCTCGCTATTCATTTTGGTTTGTTTTTAGTTTCTTACACACCACTGTTATATGTTTACTAGGGCATAATAGGAGGTTGTTTTGTTTTATGTTTTAAATTAGGAGTGGTTTAGATAATTTTATAGCAACCTTCACATCTAATTACGTTATCCAAACAATATATACAGCTAAATGTTATTATTCGATAAACATCAACTTATCTCATAAATTCTATAACTGGTTATTAATAATTATTTATTTCTTTCTCCAGTAACTATAGAAGAGGACATTATAATAATAACTACAATAACAACAACGACAGTACAAATTACAGAGGATACAGAGACTATAATCGAAACTGGGATTTTAATAATCCACACTATAGACCCAATAAATATCAGAATTACAACAATAAACCATATGACAATGACATTGAATTATATCATAACAAAGCCTGTTATTCTAAAAATACGGAACCACATGTACAACATTCTTTAGAGTCTCCGATAGAAACTGAAGTGATAAGTGATAAAGAAACATTCACTGATATGGAAGAAACAACATATGATTTTGTGGTTGTAAGTGATTCCGAGGATAACATAGTACAATCGAGCGTGGAATCTATCTCTCTATGTAGTAAACAAAATAAAAATGATATAGATTCAGTTAAACTGGACTTTTGTGGTATTAAAGCCTTTGATAAGGAGAATCAAATACTACAGCAAAGCAAGCAACAATCTCGTGAATTAGATACTTGTAAGCATAATGAAGAAATTGTAGTGGATTCCACTGAAAATATTGTAACGGGGAAAAATACTTCACTCTGCGTTTCAAGTTCCCAAGATTTATGCATCTCAAATAAGCATGCTGAAGAGGATCATCAACCAGATAGTACCACAAATGAGAAAGTCCAATTAACAACACCCCATCTCGAAGTAAGTGTACTAATGTCATCTGATGCTATTAAGGCTCTTGATAAAGAATTGGAGAATATGAAAACTTATCCACATAATAAAAAGGATCATGTTGAAGTGGCAGTAGTTTGCGTTGATTCTGAAATTGCAAATACACTGAAAAACATGGATGCTAAAAGAAAAGGAAAACCGTTTAGGAGTAAATCTTGTTTAAAATTAGCCCGAGTTGAAAAATTAAAGAAAAAACGATCGAAATCTTTGTCGGATTCAGTTTCCACCGATATCCAAAATTCTAAAAGTAAATTTCGGAACACAACCACATTAAATTCAAGATATAATAAAAAGTCAACCACACAACAGCCAAAACGAAGAAGCAACGTAAAAAAACATCATGGAAAATCAAACAATGACTTCACCATATACAATAAACCACATTTAATTGATTTACCAGATGACCCAACAAAAATTTACGCAACATTGTCTTCAAATGATCCAAGAAGTAATTACAAAAATAAAGTTATTTCCAATCCAAATACCATTAGTAATAAGCGACGAAAGACGGAAGACCATCAGAATTATCATTCAAAAATTTGTGCTTTAAAAGTTGGAAAAGAAGAAACTCGGAAAACATTAAGTTTGTCTGACATGAAACGGATAGGAAAACGAAGACGTAAAACAGAACCTTCGTTTTCCACTAATAAAAACAGTAAAATACATTTCGCGAAGGAAACATCCGAAAGAGTAATGATTGATCACATTAAACCGTTTTCTATAAAAACTCCAGTGAAACATACAGCAAAATTAGTGCGTCAGTATTTAATACATCCAAAAAAATACTACCAAAGAGCAATAATTTTAGAACCTGTTAATGTACAAAGCGAGCCTAAAATAATTAAAACAACACCGGACATTGAAGAGCTTATAACAAAATTCGCAGAATATCTTACGCTGTTTTGTTTAACAACTAAAAGCATAAAATTAATGTCTACGTTAAATGGCGAAGATCACACATTATTAAGCTACCTGGAAGGGGTGAAAGAAACATTTAGAAATAGTTGCAAGCTTATTCCATATTCAAATATCGATATCAAAGAACTCATTACGAAAGTGTATAAAAAAATTATTTTGGCGAGTATTGGTTGTTCACACCTGGACATTACATCTGCATTAAAAATTACTTTTGGTGATGTCGCTTATGGATTAGGTAAAGAAATTATTCGCTTAGTAAAGGATAACTCCAAGTCTATTTTTATTAAGCATGAAATGATTGATGATGATTGTGTAATAATTGATGTTAAAAATGGTGAGTTTATTAAATTAATTGAAAAATCTTTTTAAAATAAATTTGTTGAATGAATTAAAGTACTATATTAATGCATACATTTATTTTTTTTATAGAAGTCGAAGCTCGTTCTACTACATCTACTTCGCCAAATATAACCCAATCACAAAACCAAACTGAAAAATCCAACCACCAAATGAATATGCCGATTCCAGTTCATACAAACACAACAAATAATAGAAATCCAGATAGAGTTTCTAATTTAAACAATGTGTTAACATCAAATCCCAAACTTGTTCAGATGCTTACTTCAAATAATGAATACTCAAGTTATTCTGGATTACAACAACTTCAAACAGCACATTTTGAATATGCTAATCAACCCATTAATAACAACCAGCAAACTGTGAATGGAACTATAAATCAACATATAGCGCTTAATCGAACTGTTCTTCAACAACAACCGCTTCAACAGCAAGTATATCAGCAAGTACCTTATCATTCTTCTGAATGTCAACCTCAACGTATCAATGAAATGGTTTATCAACCTCATACACCTAGAAACGTATACAACCAACAATTAGCAGCTTCCTCTCAAAACCAAAGCGTAACCCAAACAAATCCATTCAGAATGTCTGGTGGTATTGCTGTAAGAAAGGATTTATTAGCGTCTAATTCGAACCAACCTCATCATTCAAATAGTACTGCTCTGCAAATATCTAATAAAACTGGTCAGATGCAGTGGAGTGCTCCATCGGTAAGTATAAAATAAAACTAACTTAAAATGATGTACTATGCCACTACATACAAAATTATATGGCAGTTCAGCTTACCCCCTTTTTTATGTATTGGAAATATGAAGGCAGTCTGCCAATCTGTAGGCATCTTCTCAGTCTTCTGTTAGGATATTATTTACCCCTAGTGGCTTATTACATTTTAGCTTCTTTATGCTGCTTTTTACCTCCTCCAAGCTCGGATCACCTATTTGAGGTAAGAAGAGAAGCACTTCTTAGTTTATTAAATTCTTCTGTTTGAGTTCTAGTCGGTTGTTGTATGATTCTCTGTCGTGTTCTCTTGTCATTAATTTCCTTGCATTCCTCGTCCTATCAGTCATTTCTCTTTACCTATACTCTCTTTACTATTTCTTTTTTATTTTCTATTTCTATCTAAACCTGTTCTTCAAAGTTATTCTTGAAAAATATTTTTATAAAATCTGACCGAGACATCAAAAACGGTTTTATCTTATATATTGCAACAATCAACATTTGATGATTTTCTAGACGTTGTATCCTACTATCCAGGTAGGACTTACTTATAGTATAATATAAGCTTGTTGTGGATTGTTCAGAGCTGTGGCCAATCAAATAATATATTTTTTTGAATTTGATGTTATGTTCATCACGATTCTTCTTAATATGCTCTTTTCTCAAAACTTGATATCGAGAGTCATACGATAGTACTTCGCTATTGCCATTAATGTTGATTGGTTGTTGTGCAATCATTTTATTTGTGAAGTCAATATGCGTGGATTTCGATTTACTCAGTTTAATGCGGCATTTTTTTATCCAGATTCAAGTTTTATCAAAATTAGATTGCAGCTTTCTGGTTGAGCTTGCTGTCATGTTTACCGCGTCTTTGGCGAAAGAGGTTATTGCGCTGTACAATGTTGTTAGAACATCATAAATGTAAATCAGATACAATATTAGATGAACGGGAAGAAATAATCTTACTTTATGACGTAAGCCCTCAGAGCGTCACACTCTGTAAAAGCCTGTGCGACATCAAGAATTACGTCAAACGATGTACTTGGCCGATGGTCTTTGTGATTATTTCTAAAGCCAAATTTAAGAGATGTATCAAGTATAGGTATCAAGTTATGTTGATTGGGAATAAGTTTGAGGCGTTGCAAGAACAATTACTCAAACAGCTTTGGGTTGTTATGATTCCGCTTCGCTTGGGTTTTTGCCACATTTTGGAATCATTATGGAATCATCATTTTGGCCGTTTTCCATTCATCTGGTCTTTAGTTTCCACAACAACTTCCTTAGGAGTGATTAGAGTGGGATCCCATCAAGGTAGTCACTGGGATGGAGACTCGGCAATTCATTAACTCCCTCATTAGGATGGAATTGTGCTCCAATATCCTCTGCAAANAAAAATTGGGATTAAGACGGCTAAACCCGAATAATTCTTCCGAATGTTTCCAATTCTCGGTCTAGTGTTAGTTCTAGTATTGCACTAGCACTATCACTAGAACAAACACAAGACCTAGAACAAGGATCATTCGGGTGTGCATTTTATATGAGGCAAAGTAAATAGGTATGCCGTGGTTTCTATGGAAATATATTTTACCTAATTCCATTATGAAAATTAAATTTTACACGTCTTTCTGATGTTATCTAACGTAACTTTTTTTTATAACTAGTGATGTAATTAATTCCATTATCTAACTACAAATGGACATCTGCCACTAATACCATAAATCAAGTTTTGAACAAAAATAGCTTTTTCAATGGAATTAGATAAAATTTTGTACTTCACAGATTATGAAACGGGTAATTTTGTTTAACTCACGTAATTTGTAACAAAATTAGTCTTTTCATAACTGGTTACGTAAATATTTGTACATTGCATTTAAAGTGAAATTCGGTGTATAAAAAAATTAATAGCTGACTATAACGATAAATTAAGTGATGCATTTTTTTTTTTTCAGAAAAAGGATTGGATTACTCACTGTTATGAACATAATTATCGCAGAGTCTAATTTTGTCAGTTAAATAATATTATTTTGAGTTCCTATTTTGTTATATTTTTATGATTTCAATTAAAGTAGTTTAATGATTTATTTTTATTTTTTAAATGATTATATATGACAAGTTAATTAATGATTAATAAAAAGTTATTATTATTAAAAATTCGTTGCCATTGTATATTAATTGTTAATAAGCATGATACATTTATTTAAATTCTACCGCCCTATTCAAACGGAGTAATATGAATTTATACTACAATGTATTAAGCGAATTAATAAGTATTATTAGTTTAAGATGTTATAAAGAAGTATAAATTTCTTTAATTTCTTTATAAGTATACATTGTTATAAAAAATGAAATAAAAGTTTTCTACTTAATAGCAAATTTTATTTATTTCCTGATAGTAATTTTTTTCAACTTAATTAAAATTTATTTAACAATAATACATAACACATTTTAGTTATAACGCAAACGTGGATGGGTACAAGTGTGGTCTTGGTTTACCTCTTGATAAAGGATTGTACTTTTTGTCACCAGCTTCATGGTTCTTTGGTTGGTGGAGTTCTTACATTTATAGTTCCTTTAAGCTTCAGCTGCTGTTCTATCGCATTTCCAATTCATTGGAGCAATTGTGTGTGATATTTAGATGTGCTCTTGGAAATTATTCTCATTTTTTAACGGAACTTGACGACCCGTTGGCATCTTCTTGGAGACTTTAAGTGTTCGCAAAAGTGCAAAAAAATTATTCATATATTATTCATTATTCATAGCGACGCTTTTTTATACCAGCTTACAGTTAGTCATCCTACCGTTAAAATATTTTATTCATTGTGGAATATATTCTGGTTTAGCCTTACGCGATGCCTATTCTCGATATTATTTGGTGTTCTTTTTTTTTGCGAAATGTTAATATTGTTATAGTTGGTGTTATTTTCATAACTTAACATTTTTACTTTTAAACAATTAATTTTTATTTTCAATTATTTATTCAAATATTTCTATTACCTAAATGTTGGTTAACACAAATTTTTTGCCAGTATTAGATCCTAACTCAACATTAACAATGTATTACAATAATATTAAACATTTTCGACCCAATTCCACAGGAATCAGATTTTTGGCCATATACAGGGTGGATCAGTTTTTAATCGGGAAGCTTTGCTAGGATGTAGTACTTGCCAAAATAACACAAGTTTTTTACATAAACATAGGGTCCCAACTCTTTTGTTTTCGAGCTATGAGCTGTCAAAGTTGAGCCAAAAATTTACATTTTATCTTTTATTTCGACTATAAGTAAACCATAGAATTTGAATTTTTGTATGTATGTACTACTGGCTGATACCTTATTTTCAACCATACCTTAAACTTCCCTAGCACCCTCTAAGGGGATGCAATTCACCATCCCCTTGATTTATTTTATAAGAACTTTTTAACGCTATGTAATATTAACATAAAAAAATATGGGTTATAAGCACATACTTTAGTGGTACTTTTTTGTCTCTTTAGTATTTTCTTTAAGGTGGCGATTCGAACCTCTTGGGTTCATAAAATTGATAAAAAAATCGGTTTAATTTCGTCAGTCAATGATTAATATTTCAACAATATTCATGCATTTAATTTTACAACATTACTGAATTCGTCACTTGATTATATTGTATACAGGGTGTTTCGGTGACTCGGGGAATAAATTTAACCACATATACTAGAGTGAAAATGATGACGATTCATGTAAAAAAAA